CATAAACCTGTCCTTTGCCACCAAAAAGAATTCATATACAATCTACACATCATTCAGTAGGTCTGTGACATTTCCTGATTGGCTTAAGGCTATGCCAAGTGATTGCCTTACCGGCCTATGTTGATCTGACTCATTTTATAAGCTGTACTATTTCCTATAGATCATTTTCCAAACGGTTCTGCTTTAATTAGTGTCTGGCGAAAAGCTTCAGCAGATATTTTCTTTGCAGCATCTCAACCAACAATTGGTCCAATTATCAACGCTATTTTCAAGTTTTGAACAACTCGACTTTCAAGATTTACATATCTACATGTGCCAATGTTTCCGTTTATCAACGGTATATTTTATAATCTGTGCAAGAACTCAGCTAACAGATGATTCCGTATATAAAAGCTATCTTCAAATTATTTTTTTTATTTTTTGCAAATTAAATTATTCGTGTTTTTTTTTTCTCACTGCTCTCAAATAAAGTCAGATCTTGGTTGACTTCAACCTTTAATTCAGGAAATGACGACGAATTTTGATAAGAAATAATATTTTCCAAAATAAGTAAAATTTAATAAATCATGCAACTGTTAGTACTTGATTCTTGGTTAGTGTTTTAATGATATTTTATATAAACAAAAAAAAAAGCTGACTACACGCTCGAACTTATTGCAGTTTTCAAAAACGTTATAATTTAAATAAGTTGTTTGTTCACCTGAACGACACTTTATATATACAATGGGCTATACAGACAGTTCAGTAAACCTTACAGTTCAGGCATATCCGTCTCTAATTCTGAATTGTAGACCAGAGGGAAAACAATCAGGTAGCAGCACCCGTTAACAGAAACGATTACTTTTAACCGAATAGCGAGATTGAGTGTCATTCTTATAACCTACCCAAAGTTGAAAATATTTTGTTTTGTGTATTTTTTATTTTAGCACAAAACTACACAATAGGCTATATGCGTTTTGTCCAACACGGGATATCGAGCCCCGGATTATAGCGTTATAAGTCTATAAATTTACTGCTCACTCAGCAGGAGACTTTGTTTAAACTAAAAATCTGCCTTTTGTTCACTAAAAATATATTTAGTTGGTACTTTTTAATAATTTGACAAATCCAAAAATGAATAACCCGAAAACAACAAGGAAATCATAAACAACAAGAGGAATGAAAGAGATTTGCATATCCTCGCCCTGCCGCTCCTTTCCAGAATGATCAATGATCCGGATCATTTTTTATAGTTTTTTTATAGCTTAATGTGCACATGAAATTGGGTACAAATCCGATCACACTTTACAGAGTTAACCTAAAATCATAAAAATGCCCTATCTATCCAATGTAAAAATGCTTAAAAGTGATCCAGAACCAGGATTCAAACCAAAGTTGGAAAGGACTGTCCCATCGTGTGTAAAATTTTCGTGTACATCGGTCTATCAGTTTTCGAGATTCGCATGCGGAAACATAAACACACCCACACAAGGACCCAATTGCAATATCCTCGAGGGTAAAAATCCGTTAGAATAACACAAGAAAAGGAACAACGTTTTATTTTATCGTGATTTTGGTTTTATAATAATGTTACACGACTTCAAAACTAATAGTTAACAATGATAATGCTTCATTGATGTCGAAATGTAATATTTGTACAACGAAATTAATAAGAATGCAACAAAAACACAATTAACAAGTTCTACATCACATTAGAATATTCTGCAAAGAATTTCTAATAAAGTGTATTCACAACTCTGTATGGAAATGACGTTTTTGTATGAGAACACTTAAATGGATAATATTAATGTAACTAGAACAAAAAATTGAATCACATTTCAGATATTAATTTACTAACACCTTTCACTCCTACATTGTGGTGTTATAACGGTTCTTCGATGACTACAATCCTTAATTTACGCAAGATCAAACATTGATGAATAACTGTATTTTTAATTTACGTAAGAGCAAATATCTATGAATAATCATGCTTGTCATTTGCAGCAGATTAAGCATTAACGAATAATTATGTTTTTCACATACGTGAGAGCAAACAGCGTTGAATACTTTTGAATTTATAAGACACCAAATAGTGATGAAGACTTTTAGTCCAGATTTTACAACCCATATTTTACACTAGGCTAAAGAGTGAAAAATAATTACAGTTGTTTTTTAGTTTACGTAAGCTTTGTTAAGTAATTTTATTTTTTATTTACATGAGCGTAAACTTTGTTAAGTAATTATATTTTTTATTTACATGATAAGAAACACTGATAAATAATTATGCTTTTAATTTTTATAAGAGGATTTGTTTGTTCATAATTAAGCACAAAGCTACACAATGGGCTATCTGTGCGCTGCCCACCACGGGTATCGAAGCCCGATTTTTAGCGTTGCAAGTCCGTAGACATACCGTTGTGCCAGTAGAGAGCTTTATAAGAGGAAACATTGATGAATTTTTAATTTACACGAAACAAGATGGATAAATACAGTTTTTATGTGGATGAGAATAAACATTGAAAAACTAAAAGCCATAAAACGAGCAGAACACTGATGAATAATTATAATGTCTAATTCATATGAGGATAAACTTTGATTCGTAAATTTACGTCAAACAAAATATTGATTAAAAAAAGAAAGACTAAACAACATTAAAGTTCGCGAAGAAACAAAAGTAAAGTTGAAATTGTTCATTGGATAACCCATGACGTAAATGTTTATAAACCTTAACTTTTCCCGGAAGATGAAAAGCTTGATATGCAGGGAACTACGTGACTCCCAGGGTTTTTGTGCATCAGGAAATTTTTTCATGATAATTTGCTGTATCACCGCTTCTATTAAATGACATTGATGAAAATTCGTCTTATTGGAAATCTTTATGCTATGACATATTTTCTGAAAACGCCCTTCACATAATCACTTGCCACAAACAATTACAGTTCTATTGAAACTATCGGCCTCAATAAGAAAGTAAACCTTACTTCATCATAAGTTGTTCAATAAATGGAACAATGCATTTTTTTCCATGCTCGTCTAGTCACCTTTCCTCGTACAAACGGGAATAAGCCGTGGTGTTTGGATAAAGGTCGCTCTATTATCTGCAGATACAGCTACTGTATGGGGTTTCTGTGGTTTATGACTTAGTTTGAACTATAAAAGCACACACACATACACACACACACACTCTCTGAAGGAGCGAGTAATTTTATAGCGTGACACTAGTCCTCGTAAGTGAAATCTAGAAATCACCGCCAGGAGGCTACGCCACAACTCCTCATAAATAACAAAATTCTACACCAACTA